GACAGTGCCCCATTTCTGGTCCCGTGCCAAGATGGAACCCCCTTTATTTTACTTTACGAGAACAACCACGACACACGATTCAATCAGCAAAATCGACTTCTCGTCGCCCATTCGAAAAAAGGGAAACAGTATATTTCACTATTCAACAGATCACTTTAACGAAATATAACGTCTGTAGAGTAACTTTTGAATCAATTACATTCCTGAGTTCTCTGTGCGTGAATTTCTAAAGTTATTGGCACGCTATATCCTGTGTAGATACAGGTAGGAGAACTTGAGCGAAAATTTCAAAGATAAAATATACGTATGAAAAGAGAGCAGGAAACGCAAAATTTTACTTAGCGATTAACAATAAACGTTTAGTGCTCAAGGAAGAACTTGCTGAATAGCCGTCATCCCATTTAACTCGAAAAGTTTCTCTATTCTTAATCCGCCCATTGTAACAAGCCGTCAACCGCAAACACGATTTAGCTTTAGAATCGTAAACGCTATTTGTAAACGGTTGAGTCGCCAGGAAGGAGCACGCGTTAATGCGTTTCCGGTCGTTCCATCCAAGACAAACATAAACCTCTTTAAACGGCACAATTTTCCCCAGGAAATTTCAAAGGATGAATTCACATAATTTGATAATAAAACAGTAGCGCTCGCGTAATCCTAGTCTATATTAATATCCGTTGCTTGACATCAAAGTGACATCACGACGTCTGCACGAGGAAGCCAAACTTCATTGCCCCACCTGTTGGCTTCCGTTGCAATTCGCTGGCCAAAAATCTAATATTAGAGACTGGACACTACGAGAATAATCCGCAAGTGCATCCAGAATTATAAATAGAATGTTTCCGTGCTATTGTTGACATACGTGCAGACAGTGCAATTGGGTGTTGTTGACCATCCTCTGGTGCAATGCACTTGGTCTTGTTTATAAACATGGGCAAAGTAGATGGATTTTCCTGTCGCTTTAAAATGCATTGCTCGACCAAGATTATGAAGAGTTATTTGAGGACTGTTGTAAGCTTATAGGCAGTTCAGGTGTACTGAACTATTTTTCTTGTTCTTGCTGTTTTAACTTCCGGTTCTTGAAAAGCTGCCAAAATCGCAAACGTACCGTGATCTTCCATTAAGAATCCACTCGAGTGTATATCGTATTCGAATGTTGCAAATATCAGAAGCTTTCTGGTTTCACAGAGAATTGTTTAGGTATACAGATAAAATGCTTCTTAAGAAGGTTTTCGGTTTCTCTGTGATTACTCAGCTTAGTCATCTTAAAGAATTTCATTGTACAATAAGCCAATCTGTAGTCTAGTTTTTGCGTTTGCTTGTAACGTGTTAATGATTCAGGGGTTACGGATGAGTGGGAGAGTAGGCAGTTCCCAGATGTGATTATAATATATTGATAAAAGTTTAATTCAATACTCATGTTATAATTCTGTACTTACTTTGGAGAGCAGCATTCCTCTTCCTGCGTGGGATTAGGGCGTTGTCGCTTAATGTAGCCGGTAAAGAATTCCTCTTGGGTCTAAAATCAGGTATGATGCTAGAATTCTTGTAGATGTGTATAGAGCGCAAATTGCGACTACAGTTTACTCTTAATCTGGAACAGACAAATTGAAACAACTATAAGTACCAATATTGTATATTTTTTTCAGATTCCTCTGATGACTATTTATGCTTACGTTAAGTTTTTCAAGTCCATTGTGAAATAAACAATTGCACTGTCGTCTCTCTGCTCTTGTTCATTCCTTGAATTTCCAGCACCTTGCAGCAGACACCGCTCTTGGTGACTGTCTAAGTAAGGATTCATTGCATCACTAAGAGTTCGGCCAAGAGTGAAGCCAAACTGGAAAATGAAAAACTTAATTAAAAAGCATTCACTTTTCGAGACAACTCCTCGTGCAGTGCGATACCTGCAGTGTACAATGTACTTATTCTAAAAGCTACAGAAATGCCATTATTGTGATATATGTAAAAATGAACTGAATGAAGGTTATTATCAATTAATAAAACCTAATTATGATTACAAATGACTCGCCAATGTTAATTGAACATGTTTGATATATTCCTATTGATCAAAGTTTTATCGACCCATCAGCATAATGTCCTAATTGGAGCTTTAATGATTGATTAATAATGGAGAAAATGGGAATTCGTGTAAACAGGTGTCCATATGAGTAAAGGAGCAATCATGACCCCATGTCCATTAGATTTAAGACCTACCACAGCATTCTCATCAAAAGGCTCCGTATGGAAATTCATAAGGCTGACGTTAAGAATGCCACCCTTGTAGAATCCGAAAGTGCTGAGAGCGATATATTGCCTGCCATCATTCTGAAACACGAGAGGCCACCAATGAAAGATTGATCGCTAGTGTGAACGGCCATTCCTATGTAAAACCAAAAATTCGAGAGAACAAGAGGAAATAAAAACCACAAAATTATTAAGTGTTGACACCAACAATGAACGAGGCAAAGGATGAGAAGAGCATTCGTAAACAATAATATTAATCGCCAAGAATAAAATATGATACTTGAGAAGGACTATGAGAAAGGACATGTATATTTTTCTCAACGTCGCTGACCCGTATTTCCAGTTTATGAATCCTGCCGGTGACGAAGCCCAGGGCGAGTAAGGCCCAGACACATTGCACGAAAGAGTATTTCCACTGCATTGTTCGCTGTAGCTTTATACGCGTAGCGGACAAATGTCACATTACGTGAGAAAAAAATCCCACCACCAAAAGCCTCGCCTTTGCTCGTCGATACGCGAGCAGAAACTGAGCGCCGAAATGGAGGAATTTGGTTCAGGAACGACCAGGAACACTCGAATGGGGAATTGCGGATACGGACTGTGCGCAACTATTTTACGCTCCTGACACTAAAAAATACGTATACATATGTATATTGCAAAAACCTCTTGAAAATTTTACTTCTGTTATCTAACCCACGTGAGCACACATGGTGAAGGTTTACAATATGAGCTTCAAATTATTGGCCTTTATTGTTAATGTTTGAGTAAATGGCCTTGAATACTTTGTCATGTTCCACGACATCATTTGTAATGCTTTGTTCGTTTTTTAGATTCTATAGTCGGTTCATGAGTTCGATGTGTTATTTAACAGATTGAAAACAATGAAGTCTTTAGCAAGGCATATGTACCACTGTATACAATGTTTGTTATAAAGAGTGCATATGCATGATTCCGATTTAACATGTATTCATGTTATTTTATGGAGAACTACGTATGATTTAATCAGATGTTGCGGGTTTTAAATCATAGTCATTCTGCAACGTTACTGAAGATTTTACCTTTCTAAAGTTATTCTAAGTACTATTCGTGATTACTTCGGACGATCATTGATTCTGAGGGACATTTGTTTTCTTGACATTGTTTATTCGCTTATTCGTACAAAGGTACGAAAGTTTCGTCAACTTAGCGAGTCTGCACTGCATTCCACGAATGGTTGTGGAAGAGCGCGCGCGTTTCCAAATGAATTGAGTTTCTAGCAAGAGTGATATATTCTTAAGTGACGATATTTTTTTCTAAGCACACAATCTTAATTGATTGCAAGGTAACCGTTTGTTTTTTTAGACATTTTTACAATGCATGCTGCCGTTTTCCAGTCGAGGATGACTGAAGTAAGATCCAATGATTATAATTGAAGGTTATGTCTGACACATATTTTCTCAGCAGGAGACCTTTCAAATTCTCTTAGATGTTATGGAAAAGCGATTTGCAGCGCTTTCTTTGCCAGATACGGACTCTGATCATAAACTAACTAAAGCTGTTAGTTTTTCTGAATTACCTAACACACGTAGGGTCCTGGTTGAACAGTTTTATCAGTCTGGAAGCACCGAAGGACTTGTCAGACAGTACAGCTGTGAGCAGATATTGCATAAAAATTCAAACATTAGGTGATTATTTGCATGAAATTTATATTTCTTGATAAGTGCTTAAACTTTATTGTCTTTTCTGATAGGCAGGTGAAAGTCTCAGAGTTAGTAAGATCGGGTGCCAGTGAGCACAGAAAAACATGGGAAACAACTGTTCCGCTTTTTGGTAATATCAAAAATATTGGTTGGATTACCGATCGTGGTAAGAACATAAATGAAGTTACAGAATCAAATATCACTTATCAAATGAAACAACCTGAACTCATGGAAGTCGAAGAAATAGCTAGCAAGAAATTGCAGAACTCATTTCCTAGAAGAAAACTGCGTCAAAGTAACTTGACCAAATTTCACAAAATCAACAATTTACAAGATGTCAAGATGTCAAACACAAAACGTATTGTAGAACCTTCAAGATTACTCAGTAACAATTTTGTGGCAAATACACAGCAGGAACCATCACAACTTTTGAAACCTGAAGCAAATTCAAACGCGATTGCAGATGTGCATTTAACCAATTCATCTAAATACAACCAAAAAAAAGGGAGACTTCGGTCCCTCGTTCCAAAAAATTCAGCAAAAACAAATAAAAAAAAGATACCGTGTAGCTTCCATCAGATTATATTTTTTCTGCTGCTACCCGTCGCCATCACCCTCGCGACTGTGTTTCTAAACCAGGAGTCATTAATCGATCATTTCTGTAAACATCGTTTCGATTTTAAAAATGCTGCAGTTGCTCTGCAAAGCCGACTTTATGGTCAGCAGCAAGCTGTTGAAGAGCTGATTGATTATTTTCAAAAGAATTCCGACACGTTCAAACTCGTAGCATTTGTCGGCGGTACAGGAGTAGGAAAATCATATGCAGCAGAGATCATCAAGGAGACATTTCCAAACCAGGACAAGATCTTCGTCTATTCCGCACCGTTGCAAAATTGCCCTAAAGAAATAAGTACTATGTACTTTTTCTGTCACTGCAGCCTCATTATTCTGGAAAACTTGAGCACCGAAGACCTTATCGACGCGGCCACTTTTTCAGCGTTGATAAAAGAACACGCGATAAACCAATGTGTCACCATACTGGCTCTTATCAATATGCAGGACACTGATAACGAACTCAAGAGAACTTTAGATTTGCAGAAGAGCATATCACAAGTGGATGCCGCTTTTTATAAAGTAAATCTGGAGCCAAAGATCATCGGTTTCGAAACGTTGAACGAAGATGTCCTAGAAAAGTGTATTTACCAGGTTGCCAATGAGAGAAACATAAGTCTGACACAGAGCGACGTGGAGTATATTAGACAGGGATTAATAATAGCCAATAGCGGATGCAAAGGTGCCTATGCCAAAGTACAACTAATGAACAAGGAAGAAATTGAAAAGTAGGAATTAAATTGTAAATTCAATTTTTCACATTCTTTTCTTATTTGTCCAGTCCCATCGTAATGTTCCACCAATTTATTTTCGTACAATTTTTAAGTCCTTCGTATCCCTAAAATTTGTTTAATCTTTAAGGATAGACTTGCCACTCCTATAGCTAGTCTCTTCATGATAATTGCTCAATTTAGCGAAAAACATGCATTTTAAACGAATTGTTAAATTAATCAAATGTTCTGAACTTCCGCGTTTGGCTCGTTACGTTGGTTACACAGTATTGTGATTAAGTATAGTAGCTTTACTTAGGAAATCAGAGTCGACGTCATATTTTATACGAAATTTTGTATTTGTGATTTATAATACTTAAAAAAAATTATTTCTTAATTCTTACAAATTCGTTTTAATCAATCAAGAAGCGATGGACATATTTAAACAATAAAAATACTTAATTATACATAAAATGATATTTTTATACCTTTCATTTCTCTCAGCTGTATAATGCAATCGTATAGAAATTTCTTCAATAATTCTACCAACCATACGCAACGTGCTCGTAGACCATTAAAGTCCCTATAGCAGTGTAATTGCATTTCACTTTCCTGATTATGACTACTACCGGTCTCTGCGATGCGATATTGCGTGTCGAACGTCGTAAGGTATAATGGTACCTAGGATCACTCATCGTTACGCAGTATTACGCGTTATGCGTTATGCAAAACATTAACTAATCCGTAGCGTTATACCGACGAACAATGGATGCCTTTCACCAAATCTCTTGATTCGTTATACGACAAGCATAATGTTGAATATTTAAATTTTATATAAAAACAAACAAAATTATTCGTTGCCTAACATACGTTTTAAGATATCAAGCATCACTGTCCACAATACTTATACTAAATATTAATACAGAACTAAGCGTCATCCTTCCTTTTCGTTCTGAAAGAACGAAAATGCCCGAGGAAGAAATTTCTTAATATTTGCTTCTTACGTGGCTTCGAGTGATGTAACGTGTAACGCGTTACGTTCGAAATAACACTAGCTACACAGAGCAGACTTTTGTCTACTATAGTGCCTATACTATACTTCCTTAATTCTTAATGGTATTATAACTTTTTACGTCCACTGACGTAGCGTTGCGTCGATACCTATACTAATGTATGTATACTCGATGATACTTGATACTTTGTGACATCGAACCTCTGAGTATGCTTTCATTTAAATTTTTCATTCTTCCACGTTTCCCTCTCTTGATAACTCTGTTAAATGATCTTTCTGGGAGACGATTTGATTTCAAGGACCACGAAAAGTAATGAGGACTCTAGAAAAAAATAGTGACTTCCTGAAACCTTTCACTTTCTCAATTTCAAGCATTAAAATGGCTTAATGCTCGAGTGACACTTTTGAGTAGCGTGGTAATTTCATTAACTTATATATGACAACGATGTTACTCGTAATTGCAATGCTAGTTTTAAATATCATTCTACGAGTAGCATTACCGGTTCTTCTCCGTAAAAGATTCTTATCTGGATACTTGAGTAAATTCACTTTCTGTCAGCCGGATGTGCGTTGGATTGTTTTGTGAATAACGTTAGACAATTTCTTTGAGTGACTTAACGAGATCTTGAAAAATCAGCGGAGGCTGCTCGTTGCTCTGAATTCTGGTGAAATTGTATGAACGTAGATGACGATCCACGTGGTGGATCGAGAGTAGAACGTGGCGCGACGTATTCAGTGACGGTTAGATACTTTCACTGTATACTTACATTGATGTTGACAAAAAAAGATGGCACACCCAGTATATCACTGGACAACCGTATACCAGTTTAATAGGAATTGTATTTTTCGTCATATAATTGTCTTAGACACTGGTTCAATAAAAAATACAAGTTTAACATGAAATATTTGATACAGTAATCGATGTTATCAAAATTATAATTTTAGACGATATCCGAATGTTGCACAGTTTAACAACAATGAGGACAGTGACTTTTTGTACCTGATACAGATGCGTTTTACGTACGCGAGTGTATTGGAAATTAATCGGACGATCCATACGTCATCACCCAATGATGGTATACTGACGTGTCTGCATAACACTCGGCGTACACCATGTGTAACGTAATGGCTCTATAATCGAGTAATCGATTTCTATCTGGTTCTGATTATGATTACTCGCCAATTAAACCGTGTACTCGAGAGGCCAACCGTCTATGAGTTTCAACATGATCGAGTCCCCTGGATCTCATGGCTCAGACCATACATCATGGTTAGACATTTTCATGGTTAGTTTTCCAAGGACGATAAATTGACCTTACTTGAAAGAACCTTAACGACCATGTTCTTTTTCTAGATGCAATGTATTCTAGATGTATGTACATGACAGTAACTGTTATCGCCTTCGTGCTTAGAATTAAAAAAAAAGTACGAGGATGAAATCCGTCAATGAGGATTCAACTGGCTAAGTCAGGAGTATACAAGAGCCACCAGCTGACCTGGACAAATGTCTAGGATCCTTGACTTCGAGATTATCCTCGTCCTTTGAAGATTCGCCTTGACTCGTTACAAGTTGGTCAGCAATAACAATGTCAATTTCAGACTAGTCAGTCAGCTTCGTTAAATAAATCTAAAGTTGAATCATCAACAGTCTCAATCGCTCATGTCGATATATAGTACCAAGAGTGGCCGCGATCGATCTTGCATTTTATTCAATAAAATATTATCAGAACTCTGATTAAACGATCGGAGGTCAATTGTCAGATTGCTCAATGACTTTCTTCTTGCGGAAACAATTGTTCGTGACGGGCGTCATTACGAAGTACGCAACCGGCTGCATCAATTTGTTGACACCAGCTGGACGATCCTCCAGCTGCCTCTATAAAAGGACACCCTCCTCCTTAGACTAGTTCACTCGCCTTCCACTCTGTTCCTACGAGCAGACGCGCCTGCTTATTAGTCTCCGTGTACGTTGCTCGTTCTTACTAGACGCTCGTGCGTCAAAATCATCGACTACTTCGTGGTCTTCGGGTTCGGCAGCGACTAAGACGTCCTCGTGCTCGTCGGCGCTGCGCTGCCAGGAGGAAGGGTGCTGGCGGAAATTATAAAAGAGTGTCCGAAACCTGGAGAACGGATCAGTCGCTTCGAAGTCTTTCGTCTGGAGACTACAGTCCTGGTACGTTTTCGGCTTTGTTTATTTTTTTATTCTGTTTTTTTTTTACCTCAAATCCTTCGGTTTATGGTGGAAGGATAAAATACGAATATTCTTACATAATTATTTTTACTCGTAACATTTGACCGGTAGGGTCAGTGCTGGATTTAAGGTAAAAAAAGATTTATTTTGATTAACCATTTTTTTAATATATAGTATATAGAATATAATGTAAAAATAATTTTTTAACAAATTTTTTTGATTTCCCGAATTTTATACAAATTTTGCACTTTTGAGAAATCATCATTGTTTCTGTTTACTAAACTGGAGCAGCTGCACCGAAAGGAGCGGGTGAATCCTCGAATATTTGCGCTTTCCAAAATGACAAGCGAAGGTCTTGACGCTCGAACGACAATTCGATGACGATCGATGCTTATTGATGAAAGAATCTCGAGTCACTCGCTGAATTTCAAAGTAAACCAACTTTTTGCGTGGCCCACGTCGGCCTTGGCACTACCGTCAAAATTCAAAGATTATGTAAATTGCGCGACTCCTCCTTTCCTTCTGGCATCTCTTTAAATCATGTACCAATGGCGTTCCACTTTTCTCGGACGTAACCACAAATTACTATGCCAACCATAAATACCACGATGATAAAAATATGACCGCCTCTAACACAGCATAACAGTATACCGATAGCCATTACTTTCTACGCGGAAGAGAAGCGCACGTTTTACATTAACCCACAGCTCGATTCATTTCACACGATCAATCCGCCATGCAATCCCGAATACGCAATTCAGTGCTTAATCTTGATTCGTTATTATCGGTTAGCAGACGTAATAATCCATCCTCGTGAATTCACTCGAAACGGAACGACAACTGTCTGTAACCTCTCAGGCAGCGACCTTTCATTCCTTTTAAGTAGCCGCCACGCGCGAAGGGCTCGCCTTTTCTTCGTTCCTTGCATATTAATTTTTCGACACGGAAAAATAGGAATGCTTCAGGGTGATGGCCTCAGAGGAAAAGGGATGCTCAGGGACGTACCTTATTAGACATTATTAGTAGTCTTCAATAATCTTTCTACTTTTCGGTCTTCTTAGTATGTAATCTTTAGTGCATACTAATTGACTGCAGCAGGATTTAATTCTTTGGGGTCGATGATGAGTTGACCCCTAAATTTAAGGGGTTGCCAGGGAATCATTGAACTAGACGAAATATATAATTTCCTCGTGGGGTAGTTTTACGCGAGTCAGAGGAACAAAGATGGGTGAACAACCGTAGCCTATTGCATAATCGGAGAAAGCTGTTGCGAAACACCAAGACATATGCGTCCCGTGGATGAAATTTTGTTCCTGGACTGGCGGATACAGCATTCTTCGGACAGTATAGTGTGGTCATGCGGTATTCGTTATGTCTTGTGTTATATCATACATACGTTCCTCTTTCACCCACATGCGGTTAGGCATTAGTAATGCCGTACGATAATGATACTGCGATGCAATCCAGTTTGAATGTGGGCAGTAAAGTTAAAAAAAGATTTTTATTAATTCAAAATACAATATTAATTTCAGATATTTCAGCGATAGTCGTCTTCGTCGGTCTTTATTAATTTGCTTGCTCATCGCCAAGAAGATGGTCGCCGTCGAGTGGGTCACGGAGGAGGATGAGTACGTGCCACCTTTTTCCGAGGAAACGCAAAAAATGGCCAAGGAAGAATTGCGGGAGGATAAGAATACCAGGGATCAGGCACTCGAGCAGATAAGGAATTGGATCAAGATGAATCCACGTATCGAGAATTGTCGTCTTGGTAAATAAAATTAAATTTGAAATATAGTAATTTTTTGTAAATTCCTAATTCCTCGATTCTCTGGCAACTTCCATCTCTGCACAGATGGACAATTTCTCCTGAGATTCTTGAGATGCAAGAAGTTCAACGTGCCGATGACGCAGGAAGCGATCGAGCGGTACCTTTTGCTTCGTCAGGTTTACCATCCTGCCTTCAATCATCTTGACATCGCCGAACCGAATATGGACGAGTTACTTTCTTTGGGGTAAGATCGAGTAGAAAGGATTTCGGCCAGTTTGGCTGTAGGATACTTGTGTAATTCTTCAATAACTTTTATCTCTCTTTTTTTTAGGTATCTCTTTGCTGTTCCTGGAAGAGACATCAAAGGACGTCGAGTGATCGTCGCCAGACCCGGTATGGACTCAGTAATAAAATAAATTATTAATAACACAAAATGACAGAAATAATAATTTACATTGACTTTTGTTTTTGAATTCATCCCTCGAGGCGTGTTCGATCCGTACAAGTATACGAATGCGGACATGTGCAAGATTCACGCGATAACATACGAATCTTTGATGGAGGACGAGGAAAGCCAGATTCGCGGATTCGTTCATTTCGCTGATGGCGCTGGGGTCAGTTTTCCGCACCTGACTCTCTTCACTCCCAAGGAGGCTGTGCGCATTGTCAAAAACGGCGAGGTGACGATAATGAATCTTTTTAATTATTCGTATGGATGAACAGTTATCGAAAGGCCAGTCCGTAACGTATTTGATACTTATTGCTCTTTTACGTAATGCTCCAAAATGTACGGGCGGAACCGGTTTTGAAAGGTTATTCTAGCCTTCGTAGTAACTCTGTTGCGATCCGGTAGTTGCCCAATTCGTATTTTTTTTTTGGGTTATAGAAAAGCAGGAACTGAACTGCGTAGATTTAAGGTTTCTTAAGTCGGTGATATTAAAATTCCATTGATTCGCTTTTCCACCATTTACAGAGAACCATCCCAATGAGGCACAAGGAGGTGCATGCTATCAATGCGCATCCTTCTCTTAAATTCGCTTTGGACTTTGGCATGTCCTTGATCTCTGAGAAGATCAAGAAGCGAGTTAAAATTTATACAAGTTTAGAAGATGCTGTCAATAATAAGATGGACACGAGTCTTCTTCCAAAAGAGTACGGTGGTACAATGCCTATGAAGGAGATGATAGGTAAGGACACCTGTTAAACATGAATTGATTATAAAAAGAGATACATTTTTGTAATTGTATGATTTTAGAACTCTGGAGAAAGGAATTGATTGACCTGAGACCTAAATTGTTGAGCCATGATAAAATGAAGGTGAGACTTGAACTGTATTCGGAAAAGGCTCGGGAAGGTGCTGTGTCGGCTTTGAAGCAAGGACTAAACTGTTCGTCTTTGGGGTCCAGTGATTCGATACACGGTATCAGTGGATCCTTCAGGAAACTCGAGGTTGATTGATGAAGATTCATGGGACAATCATAATCACGTAAACTTACTTAACTTTAAGAATTCTTTGTTGCAAAATTAGATATTTAAGGGATATAGCGGAATGCCCATCTTTGCCAAAATTCGGCTACTTGGAGGAGTAGCCGGGAGCAAAAAGTTATACGAAAATCATGAGACTCCTTTGAATCGAAAATCTGTATAAAATTGTTAACGAAAAAAGGATGTTCAATGTCGATATTCCTTTTCGTTATGATATTACCATTATTCATTGTATCAATTTCACTAGCTTTTAATTTGCTCTCCTTAAGTTCTAAGTGTATTTACGAGTCTCACTTGATAAGCACTGACATTTTTTATCGGAGAGGAATTTTAGTATAAATTTGTTAAACATTGGCATTTTATAAATAGTATAATGACAGTAGATAATAGAAGAGATTTTTATGAAATATATAGATTAAAGTGATGTAATCTTTTCACGAATTAAGCCAATTGCCAACCAACTGTTTGACTTTTGCACGTGCATTGAGTAAGTCTTTAGAATCTGTCGAATCGTCACTGAAGAGGTCACGACAGTGTGACGATCCTAAACACGAATCAATTTACTTGGTTAAACGTTTTAAAATAAAAAATCTTAATTCCTTCAAAAATTTCGTGAGACCTACCTTTGATGAGTATAGCGGGTGACAAATCATTCAGATCCTCGATAACAGAAAGCGCGTACCAAGGATCTACATCTCCATTAGTAAAGACGACATTCGTCACGTCCGGTTTAAATCCACCGTACATAATATTTGTCCTTTTAATTCCAGCGTTCATAAGATCTTCGTTGTAGCTGTAAAATTATATATTGGCTTTTTTTCAAACTGTATTGTTCCCTTGATATATGAATACTCACTAATCGCCATAGAGATTTTTGCAAAGATTCACAAAGAATTCTAATGGAAATAAGGTTCCAAAAACAGATTTATCGGAATTTGAAGTCTGACAATATCCATACTCGGTGCAGGCCTGAAATAACCACTGTCTCACTGAAAGAATTGAATGGAAAAATTATTTTTGAATTTTAGGGTATTTAGGGATTTTCAATTATTTTCTGTTCATCTTATCCGTATAATCTTATCATCTTACTCATACTCGTTGCTGCTGCCGATTCCCATGATTTATTTCTATATGCTGTAATCATATTATTGTAATTCGCATCGAGACAAACATTTTCGTCGTATATTAAAAGCGCCAGTCTCTGAAGTGGAGATCCAAGATAAGTGGCCGTCATTATGTCACAGTATCTGCTGATAGAGGTTTTGCCTTGGTAGATTCTGTCGGATTGGACAACACCAGCAAATTTCTATTTAATGGTAAAATCAGTAAATAGTATAGATGAAACATAAAATTATACATAATGAACGTAAACTCACTTCAGCGAGAAGATTCATAAAATAGGCTAGGTCATCGGGGTCAGTGACATCGGGTGCAGCGCAAAGACTGTAGGACAATATATATTTTTTATTGTGAAGAAAGTTTTCTTTTGGAGCAAAAAATCCTTTCGAGACTTACTTGAAATATTCTTTTAATGTCCTAGGACCACCTTCAACTGCGAGTAATTCTTGAACGGATCTGAAGGCTGCTTGAATGTCGACGACACATTGCGGATTGTATGCGTAGAGTGACTGAGTAACGACCTCGTAATATTCTAATAGGAAATTCCATAATTTTTTACGAATGCTTTAAAACGGAAATCACGTGCTCGAGGATACTGTTAAAATTAAGGTTTACCATAAAAATCTGCTTTTGCGTAAACTGGAGCACTGCTAGCTACCGCCCCCTGGAATACATGTATAATATTTTTCTTTTCTTATGAGAATTTACCAAATTTCTACTGATTGAGAAAAAGTATTCGTCAAACCTGTATAAGGTGAGGATATTTTAATCTCGCCCAGGCCGCCATACTTCCTGCATAGGAACCACCGAAAACGACTACTTTTTCTATTCCGAATTCTCGTTTTTTTGTGTCAATAAAATAAGCTAGGTCAGCCATCGCTTGTTCCATATTCAGATATTGCATATTTTCGGGACTAGTATCCCTAAGAAATAGACGTTTGATAATTAATAATTTGATCGGGTAAGTGGATTAGAGGAAAATGTAAAATCATACTTTGTGGGTCTACTCGATCCGTAATAACGATGTTCAGTATAAAACATAAGGGCGCCATGTGCTACACCCAAATCAAACATGAGGCCGGCCTCAAGGAAACTAGTAGAAATTTCCCATTCGCCACCCACCATTATTAAAATTGGACCGATTCCTTGAAAGTAGCCATCGTTTTGATAATATCGCTATAATTATATCAGATTATATAATAAACAATAGAACGAAAGCAGATTCACTTACTAACCATGGACCAGGTCCGATTGTCTCGGTGATTGAAGTGATCCAATGGTTGGGTTATCCATCCTACGGATATCGTTCTGATAGCTCCTTTGAAATTGAATGAAACAGGTTCCTCTAGTCCTTTTTACCGGAAGCCACGGAAATAAAATCCTGTAACATGTGATCCAATAGCGCCCAAAACAAGAAACACAAAAAGAATCGAATGCATTTCCACAAAATAATGTTGCTACTGGTTGCGAAGTCTTCTTGACTCTTTCGGCAGTCAACGGCTACTGATAACTTCGATAGCCTATCGAGCCAGCATAACAATACTAAGTCGTAAAATTTTCTTGTTAACTACTTCTAGCCTGAGATAAGTTAATCAAAATGCTAGAGCTAATCCACGAGATTAGAAAGATGAAAAAGCGAAGATCTTTAAGAATTTTTCATTCAACATTTAATGAGACAATCTTGTAACTAATAGATAAGTGTGATAGGACAGTATCTTCTTTGCTATAAAAATATTTATTGAAATTATAGGAAATACAATCTTATTCTCTGCCTGGTTTACTTCTATGTAACAAAAATTCGAATAGTCTCTCTAGTGTCTAGACTTGACAATAGATGACGAATATAACATTATTTATTTCTTTTTCTGTTTATTAGTAGAAAGTAAGCCAAATGGCAACCATCTGTTTGACTTTTGCACGTGCATTGAGTAATTCTTTAGAATCTGTTGAATCGTCACTCGAGTCAATGCTTGCGCACTTTACTCGGGATTGGGCTATGCCTCTAGTTACCAAGGGAAGGATGAATTGAACTGGATATTTGTGATGACGAATATAACATTATTTATTTCTTTTTCTGTTTATTAGTAGAAAGTAAGCCAAATGGCAACCATCTGTTTGACTTTTGCACGTGCATTGAGTAATTCTTTAGAATCTGTTGAATCGTCACTCAAGAGGTCACGACAGTGTGACGATCCTAAAAACGAATCAATTTACTTGGTTAAACGTTTTAAAATAAAAAATCTTAATTCCTTCAAAAATTTCGAGAGACCTACCTTTGATGAGTATAGAGGGTGAGAAATAGTGGAAGAGGTTGATTGCAGGCAAATATATATATATATAAGAGCGAAGTTAATGGACAAATGAGTAGAATTTATTATAAATTTGCCGTGCAGGCAACACACTCTATGAAAATACTATTTTATGAAATAAGCAAAACAATTTTAATTGGTACTGAATAACTTAGTGAATTAGAATGAATTAGAGTGAACTGATAATTGTACTTAGTGAACCGAAAGTGTAAAACTGTTTTTTTTTTTTTTTTTCTAGACTTTCTGACGGACCAGCGGAGAATGAGAGTGAGAGTTATAAAAAATTAGGGATGTTGGTTAGCGGGGGTGGATTGTTGGAGTGGGATTAGGAATTGTTACTATTGGTTCAGCTTGACAAATTTTTAAGAAGAAGAGCATGGAGTGGTTAAAGAAATTAATTCATTGGTGCTGGGAATTTTGGCGGGGGTACTCTGCACAAGGGTAAAGGAATTGCTGGATCAGGATTGGATGAGGATGACTTCTTTGTAAATGAATAAGGAGTTTTAGTGGGGTTTTCCAGGAAGGGTCATTGAG